GCAGGGACAGTTTAGCTGGTAGGCTGAGTATGCAATCACGGGCCCAGTTACGCAGCGACTGAAGCCCAAGTCATGGCAGGCAAACAGTTCTTTGGGAACTTGGAAGGGTAGCACACATTTGCAGGGGAAAGAACCTTGCTTTCAGAGTTCCTGTTCCAGCCAGGCTTCTGGCCAAATGTCTTGAGTCACCATCCCCTGGAATCCTGTTACCACTGGGCAATGGCCCAGAGAAAGGCATACCCCCTCCATCTACTTTGATAGAGACATGGTGGAGTCAATGGTGGGCTCTACAGAATGCCTCCAGTGGTGGATGCACTTAAAGGTCCTCCGTGGATGAGAGGACATTCAAAAATGCTTTGTAAAGCTAACGCATTAAACAATGGTAAACTTTATTACTCTGATTCTCCTGGCTCTCATCTTTCCTGATGCCTTCCACCTTGAGATAGTGTTCTTATGACCCTGGATGATCCTGCTCAGCTCCTTCTTATAGGCTGGCACTGTGTTGGCTAAGAGTTTATAAGTGCTCAGCTACTGACATTGACCTCTTGAATATGAGGCAACAGGCATTTTTTTTTCTTTCTTCTTTTAACTCAGTGTGCAACCTTTTCTTTCTCCCTCACCCTCCTCCCCCCTGAGTCAGTGCTCATGAACTCTCTTCTCACAGATACTCCTGTCTTGATCGCTCATGAAACGGTTTTCTTATGCAGCAAGAAGCAGTAAGTGTGGGGCACCTGGGTGGCTCAGTCCTTAAGCGTCTGCCTTCCAGGTCATGATCCCAGGGGCCTGGGATCGAGCCCCGCATCAGGCTCCCTGCTCCACGGGGAGTCTGCTTCTCCCTCCCCCACTCCCCCTGCTTGTGTTCCCTCTCTCGCTGCCTCTCTCAAAGTCAAATAAATAAAATCTTAAAAAAAAAAAAAAGAAACAATAAGTGTACTTGCAGACAAATACTTCTGCCTGATGACTACCCCTCCTGAATTGAAACAGAGCCTCTAGTAGAGGTGACTGATATACCATTTTCCAAACTCATCTATTCTATTTTGTCTCTGCAAAGCACAAGGCAGTTTCTGAAAAAAACTGTTGCCCTTCAGGAAGTTGAAAAGTTTAGGGATGAACATAAACATCCTGTGCTTTCTGTAAGCATTCACATATTGATCATGAATCTATGTAACCTATTCTCAAACAGGTGTTTATTTTTCCCCTGCAATTATTGGTTCATTCCCTTGACAAATTTTTTTTGGGGGGGGTAGAATGTAATGCAACAATTTTTAATACTAGTTACAGAGGTCAGTTAAGAACATGGAAATGCTACTGATTAGATACCAAGGAAAAAATAGAATACAAAATGATATATACAGGATGATTAAAACTATGTAAATAAAAACACACATAGGAAGTTTATTTTTTATTTTTTTTTACCAAAATGATCTGATATTTATTTTTTAATAATTTTTTTATTGTTAGTCACCATACAGTACATCATTAGTTTTTGATGTAATGTAGATTCATTGTTTGCATATAATACCCCGTGCTCCATGCAATACGTGTCCTCCTTAATACCCATCAACGGGCTAACCCATCCTCCCACCCCCCTCCCCTCTGAAACCCTCAGTTTGTTTCCCGGAGTCCATAGTCTCTCATGGTTTGAGAACTATCATATAGCAGGCCCTGAGCTAGGCCTCAGGGATACACTGGTAACCAAAATGAAGAGATGCATAATGCTAAGTCAAAAGCCAAAGATTAATTAGCTAAGAACTCTGCCTAGCACTACTCAACTTAGTAGAGCTATCTGGTCACTATAATTTATTCAGTATCATGGACCGGCATCTTTTTGCTGAGTTTTGAGTGTATACTATCATCCTGATCAGCACTGAAAGAACTTTGAGTATCTCTTAAGACTGTTGAAATTAGTGAATTCGATTATTTAATGTTTTAAATAGGTAACACATTCACACAGTCCAAAATCTAAAAGGTACAAGAATGTAAGTGAAATGTCTTTCTTTTACCTCTGTTCTCCAATACCCCACCCCTCCCTCCAATACCCAACACCCCTCCCTGAATCAACTCAGTTAGTTTAGTGGATATCCTTGTTTTATCCATATTTTAGAGTAAGGATTCTTAACTAGATTTGTAACTTGAGAATAGACCTCATCTTGATCCTGTGGTAACCTGTCCTTCTAAGACTATATCCTGTTCTACAGGACTTATATGAATCAGAAGTTCAGATTTTATTTTCCAGATGAGTATAGTGTGAGTTATTCTCAAGGGGGAAAATAATGGGAAAAACAACTAGAAGAGACATGCAAAAATATATTTTACTGTTAATACTCTTAAGAGTATTTCATGCCATCAAATAGTCTCTGCCAAACAAATTTATACTGTCATGTTTTAAAAGTCTGGTTTCCTAAGGAAAACTATACCTGGTTCTATCAAGATTATGAAAATAATAGTCCTTGCTAAGGGCTATGTAGTCTTTATTTAAGCTTCACAACAATCACATGAAGTATATACATTTCATAGGTGAAGAAAATGAAGGGATAGCAAATGTAAGTTCTCAAACCTAGACCAGGGCTCCAGTGCCCTCACTCTTAATTTGCATGATACTCATTATCCATTCTAATAGAGAACAGCCAAAAGAAGGCACGTGGCAATATTTTCTGTTTATACATTTTTGTTGTTTATTCATAATCTTTATTCTCAAATTTTAGGATCCATCAAAATTACTCATATTTAAATGCAGGTTCCCAGGCCCTGGCACTGACTTAGAGAATTAGAATCTCCGAGAGAAGGGCTCCAGCCAGGCATGCTTATTTTAACCAGTACAGGCAGGTGACACTAAGCCGGCTGGCTGTAAGCACAATGACAACTCTCATACCTGTGACAGTTTATGTTTTCCAAAATTGGCCACAACCGTATCTTCCAACATACACATACTATGTTAGTTTCTAGAATCTTTCCACTCCCCTTTCAAGAGGTGGAGTCCATGCCCCATACCTTTGAAACTGGGTGGGTTTTTGTGATTAGTCAACCAATAGATTATAGTGGGAGTGATGCTATGTGACTTCCAGGACTAGGTCAAAAAAAGACAATTCAGCTTCTGTTTTTGCTAGCTAGAACACTCACTCTTGGAACCCAGCTACCAGGTAGTGAGAAAGCCCAGGGAGAGGCCCACTAGGAGAGAAGCTAATAGCCAGCACCAACCTGCCAGCTACGTGAGCCATCTTGGAAATGGATCTGGGCCCAGTCAGGCTGCCCAGGCTGACACAGCACAGCATGGAACAGAGATGTGCCTTCCCTGCCAAGCCCTGCCCAAACTGCAGTTTCAAGAGCTAAGTAAATAATCGTTGTCGCTTTAAACAGGAAGTATGAGCTGGTTTGTTAGGCAACAATAGGTAAGTGGAACAGCACACTTCTAACTTAATATTCACTCTGCTTTTCTTCCTATCAGGGTGAATTCTCCTGAGCCCTCTCTAAAATATTCTGAAAGTACCCTTGTCCAATGTCTTTTATTTTCCCAGATTCTTCTAATCACAGAACCACTTATTTCAGACTTCTGGTTATGTGAGGTTCTCATTATTACCTCTGAGGCTTGGTTTCTCATCTCAAAAGCACTGCTAATAACAGAACCTACCTCATGAGCTTTATAGTTAGATGAGATGATCCATGTAATCATTTAACATTGTGCCCAGCACATAATATTCTCTTATTTTTACTAGGTTTCTTGCATTCATAGTCTCCATTTCTTTAATGCAATGTGTGTGTGTGTGTGCGTGTGTATACACACACATATACTTTTTCTTGTTTTCTTGTAGTCCCATGCCATTTTATAGGCTATTTCCTATGCCTGACATGCTCTTCCCTACTGGGTCTCTTAGACTCTTATTCACCCTTGAGGGCAACTCTTCCCCTTTGGGAAAGCCTTCTCTGACTTCTCAATTAATGCCTCTCTGGGCTCAAACAGCGCCTTGGAGGAACCTCTACTATAGCCATTAACACACTGGGTTGTAATTAATTACTTGTCTCTCTTCTCTATTGGACTGGAAGGCAGTCAGTGTTGTCTTTGTATTCTCACCCCCCAGCACAGCACCTGGCACATCCTTACTCGCCATCTACCTTTGTGCTGTGCTAGGAAACACTGTGGTTAAGCAATCAGGGGTCCATGTTTTGGGAGACCTGCTCGGGGTCAAAACAGCTCCATTTTCTCCTGCATAATCTTGGAAAAAATTAGTTGACATTTCTGAGCCTCATTGTAGAGACACCTTCTTAAGATTGCTGTGAAGTAAAATAATACCTGTGAAAAGCCTATCCCAGAGCAAGCAAGCAGTCATCAAATGTCACAAAATGCTTCTCCAACAGTCCCATTTTCAGGCATCGCCACTCTAATCTTCCTTTAGGGCCCTGCGCTCCACGGGTAATCCCTCTCTCAGGGATTGCTCTGGGCTCTCTAATCCTGTCCTCGGTCATTCCTCCAGCTAGCAACTCTGCGTTCAGAAGCCAATTCCCTGCACCCCAACTCTCTCCAGACCCTTTCTTTCAGCCTTCCCTGAGCTTAGGGGGCCCGATTTACGTGAAATTTAAAAACCAAAATTTAAATATCAAAACTCTATGACTAGGGTTTCCCTGGATAACTTCCGAGACCCGCATTTAGGAGCATGGCTACTGAGTTGCAGTGTTCCACCTCCCTTTGAGGAAGGAGCCCGCGGCTCCACTTAACCCGAGTCGTTCCCCGCGGCCGCCGCGCGCAAAAACGTTGAATGAACAAACAGACGAACGGATGAATGAATGGGCTGCGCCCGCGGCTGGGCCTCTCTTACGTCGCCCACTGGCGCAGGCGGGGCCGCGGAAGAGGCCTGCGGGGCGTCGGCCGCGTAATCCCACCGTCGCGCGGCGGGCTCGGCCACGAGCGCCAGGGCTCCGCGCCGCCTCGCGTCTCCTCCCCCAAGTCCCTGCCCCGCCGGGGCTCGTCACTTCCGCCACCCCCAGGCCGGGGCTGGGGCGGAGAACGCGGGGGAGGGGGCCAGGTCCTAGGGAAGCCCGCCCGCGCACGGGCAGGGACTACATTTCCCGAGGGGCCTCGGCGGCGGCGGCGGCGGCGCCGGCAGCGGCGGCGGCGGCGGGCGCGGCAACGTCCCCCGGAAGTGGAGCCCTGGACTTCCACTCGTGCGTGAGGCGAGCGGAGCCGGAGTCGAGACCAGAGGCCGAACTCGGGATCTGACAAGATGGCTGGGCTGCCCCGCAGGATTATCAAGGTAACCGCCCAGGCCAACCCCCGGCTCTGCGCTTTGCTCTTGGCGGCTTGGCAGACCGCGCGGCGCGGCTCCTCCCTTCCTCGGGCCCCCGGCCCGCGCTGGGAGGCCCCAGGCCAGCGCGGAGAGGGTCTGGCTGTGGCGGCGAGGGAAGTCAGGCGCTGGGGAGGGGGCTCGAGAGAGACTTCCGGCCGCGGTGGGGCAGCCAGGCGGCGGGGACCGGGGGCTTCCCTGTGGCCGCCCTGCGGGCGGGGAAGGCCTGGCCTGCACCCTGGCGGAGGGTGGGGCCGCGGGGTTGCGGGGTTCTAGTCTTGGGCGCGGGCCGGCGCGGGCCCCCGCGGCCTCTCAGACCACCCGGGAGGAGGCCGCGGGCGCGCGCGAATCGTGGCGGGGCCCGGACTCAGGGCGGGAGTTGTGGCCCGACACAGCCCCTCGGCCCTGGAGCCTTCTTTCGGGCCGGGCGGGAGCGCGGGGGAGCGGAAGCCCCGGGTTCAGAATGAATGAACCAGGAGCGTGATGCCGGGCGGGGCCCTGTGCCCCAGGAGGCGGCTCCGGGAGGGCCGCGCGTCCTGCAGCCGTAGGCACATGCTCGCCGCAGGCTGCGGGAGTCGAGGGACACGAGGCTGCGCGCCCCTCTGCCCTCGCTTTCGTTATCTCCTCTTTTAAATACGTTTCCGCTCGTTATCTCTGTGAAGTGATTTTACTCTGGTTGGCAAACTCTTTGAGAGCGGTTTCTGCTCAGAGGAAATAGTTTAACACAACATGGGGGGGGAGGGGCAGAGCAGGTATGGGGGACTTGGTGAAATCCTTTGCCTCTCGATTTTATGCACTTTAATGTTTGAACTGTTCCAATACATATGGAACTATGAAAAATGGACATATTGGTTTTGTAAATCCTTTACATAATATCAGGTCCTCAGATGTACGGTATTTCTTGCAGTACATAAAAGCAAAACGTTGAAATTTCTTGTCATTTTTAATGAAAATTTTAGTTGAACTTCTGTGTTCCTTAATATGCGAGTTAAAGTGACTAAATTGCAGCATCATTTCCTTTATATAACCTGGTGAACGTGTATTTAGCTTGTTCTGAAGTTTGAGGGGAGATGCATACTAAATTCAAGATCTTTTAATGGGTGACGTATTGTGCAGTGTTTCGTGCAACTTAAATATATCTGAGATGGGGGGATGTCTCTGACCTAGAGTTGCTTGATTTGGAGAAATAAGACTTTTTTTTTTTTTAAAGATTTTATTTATTTGAGAGAGACAGCAAGAGAGGGAACACAAGCAGGGGGAGTGGGAGAGGGAGAAGCAGGCTTCCCGCTGAGCAGGGAGCCCGGTACGGGTCTCGATCCCATGACCCTGGGATCATGACCCGAGCCAAAGGCAGACGCTTAACGATTGAGCCACCCAGGCGCCCCGAAATAAGACTTTTTATAAGGTAGAAATTCTTAGAAATTAGAGAAGTAGCATAGATTGTCATTGTGTGCTGCAGTCTAATGTGAACTTTCATGGTGCAAAATTGTATTATGGATTTGTCTCAGACTCTGTCCAAGGCAGTTAAATTGCTGTATGCGTTGGATGGTCCTTACAATGTGGTTTTCCTCACATGACCCTGAATACGTAATGAACTGAAGATTTAACATTTTTTCCAGTTTTGCTTGATTCTGGACACACTCTGCGGTAATATGAAAGCCTTGGATGGAAAAATAAATTCTGTGAAACCTTCTTTAATAAAGTTACAGAAATGATTTATGGCAGTGAATTGAAGTCCTCATAATTCAGTTTTTTTGGCACACAATTTAGTTTACACTAGGTATTTTCATTTTACTATTTTAACCAATACAGTGATAATTCATAAATGTGGTCTTAATTTTACAGTATCTTGTTGATAGCACCTCTTTAATAAAAGGTGACTTCATTTGGGTTTTATCTTAGAAAAGTTAGGTGGTTTTACTTTAATGGTCATTTATAGCTTAGCTTAAAAGAACTGTTTTCTCCAATCCCTAGGAAAGATTACAAGACTATAATGTGTTTTCTAGTGCTTACCATTGTATTATGTATATTTTCCCATTATCAGTGAAAAAAATTTTTTTTAAGATTTGTTTATTTGAGAGAATGTGTGCGGAATGAGTGGGGGGAGGGGCAGAGGGAGACACTCTCAAGCAGTTTCCCTGCTGAGCATGGAGTCCCAGACTGGGCTCGATCCCAAGACCCGTAAGATCATGACCTGAGCCGAAACCAAGAGTTGGATGCTCAACCTACTGAGCAACACGGTATCGGAAAATGTTTGTTTTTTAATCAGAATTTTTAAAAAGTTTGCCTCTTTTTTGTCATCCGCAATACAGGATTCTATGTGGAATATGCTGGTGGTGGTGGTGCAGGGTAGGTAGCTGTACTGTCCTGAACTGTAGGAACACACCGTCTTTCATTGGACAGCTGTTAATAGGATGCTGTTTACCTCCAACTGGTCATTATTTACATTTGCAAAATTCTTTTTTTTTTTTTTTTTTAAGATTTTATTTTTAAGTAATCTCTACACCCAACGTGGAGCTTGAATCCACAACCCTGACAACAAGAGTCGCATGCTCCACTAACTGAGCCAGCCAGGGGCTCCTGCATTTACAAAAGTCTTATACCATTTAATACTTGTAGATCTTGATCTTGTGAAGTAGACTACCTTTATAGTCTAGAAACCCATTCAAATGACTTTCTTAGGGCCTTAAAACTGGCAAGGGACAGAACTTGGATCTTGACCCAGTGTGACCTTCCCCTGCCTCTTGTTATTATGAGATGACAATGTATGTAAATATACTTTGATAACTTTAATTAACTATACAGATATAAGATGATTTTTTTGAATTACTATTCACTCATTTCCTGTCCTACTCAGATTCCCATATACAGTCCACTAGCAAATTCCCTAGGGCATCAACTTTCAAAATATATTCTTTTTTTTTTTTTTTTTTTAAAGATTTATTTATTTATTTGAGAGAGCGAGAATGAGAGAGAGAGAGCATGAGAGGGGGGAGGGTCAGAGGGAGAAGCAGACTCCCTGCCGAGCAGGGAGCCGGATGCGGGACTCAATCCAGGGACTCCAGGATCATGACCTGAGCCGAAGGCAGTCGCTTAACCAACTGAGCCACCCAGGCGCCCCAAAATATATTCTTAATCAGCTACATTTACCCATCTCTCTGAAACCACTGTTCAATTCCATCATTTGTTGCCTAGCCTACTGTATTAGTCTCCTAAGCAGCAGCTAGTGTTACTTTCTAAAAATATAGATCATATCACTCCCCTTCTCAACTCTACAAAGGTTCTCCATCACACTTAGAATAAAATCTTGACTTTTTCCCCCCGTAGTTACAAGGCCTTCCTTGCATCTGCCTACCTCTGAGGTCATCTCCTGCATGTCTGTCCTTGGGTCACTCTACTGTAACCACAATGTTGCTTTGCTCAGTCTGAACAATAAGAGGCTAAGTTTGTTCCAGTCACAGGGCTTTCCTTCTGTTTACTACATTACCTGTTTTGGCGTATCGTTCAGTTCTTGGCTCACATGTCATCCTCAGAGAGGTCTACCTTAATAATCCCAAAACACAGTTTTCCTCTCCCCCTCCCTTAGAGTTCCTCATTATCCCCATATTTCCTCCTCTCCTCTCTATAGCACTTATCACTATTTGAAGTTATATTATTTATTCTTTATCTCTGCGCCTACTAAAGCTCCACGAAGGCAGGGATTCTTAGATGACTTGGGCATTGCTCTAATCCCTAGAGGATGTAGTGTAATAGGCACTGAAATATTGAATGAATGAATGAATGTGCTTCAATCTTTGGAAGGAAGTTTTAGGAGAGTTATTCTATATCATAATTTGACGTTATTGCTTAGTAGATTTCTATCTAAATCAATGTCTGAGCTAAAAGTTAATCTCTGAGCCAAAAGTTAATCTCTAATTCATTAAAAAATCAATTTTTTATTTAGTCTAATAGGAAATACATGGAGTGCAGCATTTGAAAGGTTCTAACAGGTACATGGAGAAAGTTAAAGACTCTCTCATCTGCCCTTCAGCATTCCACTTGCCTGCCCAGACAACCATAATTTTTACTGTGTATTCTTCCAGAAAGACCAAAGAGATTTAGTATGTATATTTAGGCCTATTCCCCTCCTCCTGATGCAAATACTTTAATCTCCTCGCCCCCCACCAATCTATCTTTAAAAAAATTTTTTTTTAAAGATTTTATTTATTTGAGAGCGAGAGAATGAGAGACAGCATGAGAGCAAGGAGGATCAGAGGGAGAAGCTGACTCCCTGCTAAGCAGGGAGCCCCATGTGGGATTCGATCCTGGGACACCAGGATCATGACCTGAGCCGAAGGCAGTCGCTTAACCAACTGAGCCACCCAGGCGCCCTGCCCCCACCAATATATCTTTGAGGCGACTCATTTTTTTTTTTTTTAAAGATTTTATTTATTTATTTGAGACAGAGAGAATGAGAGACAGAGAGCATGAGAGGGAGGAGGGTCAGAGGGAGAAGCAGACTCCCCGCCGAGCAGGGAGCCCAATGCGGGACTCGATCCCGGGACTCCAGGATCATGACCTGAGCCGAAGGCAGTCGCTTAACCAACTGAGCCACCCAGGCGCCCCATGAGGCGACTCATTTTTAAAGGGGTTCTTTGTGGAACCATGTAGTTAGACCTTAATTTAACCAATTGTTTATTGCTGATTTATTTATTTATTTATTTTTAAGATTTTATTTATTTATTTGCAAGAGAGAGAATGAGAGAGAGAGAGCACGAGAGGGAGGAGGGTCAGAGGGAGAAGCAGACTCCCCGCTGAGCAGGGAGCCCGATGCGGGACTCGATCCCCGGACTCCAGGATCATGACCTGAGCTGAAGGCGGTCGCTTAACTGACTGAGCCACACAGACGCCCCTGTTTATTGCTGATTTAGATTGTCTCTAAAATTTGCTATACAAAATGCTGTGATGAATGGTTTTATAGTTAGTGGTAT